TCCCCCCAAAATAGCCGTCAACTTGGCTAGGTCATGATTCCCAGTATTCTATGATTGTCTACCATTTTGTCATCTGATGTGATTTCCCTGTGTTGTAAATCCTATCACTATGATGTAATGAGATGGATTAGTGGCAGTTATATTGAGGAGATCTACAAGATTATTTAGTGTCTTAAGCCAATCTCTTTTGAGATACAAAATAGAGAGGTGAGCAGACAGACATGGGGACCTCATACCACCAAGAAAGCAGTGCCAGGAGCAGAGCACATCCTTTGGAGCTGAGGTTCCTTTGCTGAGATGCTCCCAGTCCAAGGGAAGATTGATTACAAGGACCTTCCTCCAGAGCCGACAGAGAGAGAAAACCTTCCCCTGGAGCTGATGCCCTGAGCTTGGACGTGTAGCCTACTAGACTGTGAGAGAATAAATTTCTCTTTGTTAAAGCCATCTACCTGTGGTATTTCTGTTATAGCAGCACTAAATGACTAAGACAATATTCCTCAATTCAAATGAATGAAAAGAGGTTTCTTTTTAAATCTCCAACCTTTTTTTTTTTAATTGTGTTTTAGATGAGGGTTTACAGAACAAATTAGTTTCTCATTAAGCAGTTAATACACATACTGTTTTGTGACATTGGTTGTCTCCCCCACGACATGTCAACACTCTCCCCTTCATGACCTTGGGTTCCCCATTACCAGCTTTTCTGTCCCCTCCTGCCTTCTAGTCCTTGCCCTTGGGTTTGTGTGCCCATTTAGTCTCATTTTGTTTTATGGGCGTGTCTAATCTTTGGCTAAAGGGTGAACCTCAGGAGTGACTTCAGTACTGAGTTAAAAGGGAGTCTGAAGGGAAAGAAAAGAGGGTTTTGAGTTAGCTTTTTATTTAGCGTTTCTGTCTTTTTTTATCATATGCTGAATTTTCGTTCGTAACAGCAATAACATAATAAATAATTTACTTTTTTGATAGTTTCAAAAGATAACAAGATGAATATTACAACTATCAACAAGACCACTGAATACAGTAGATGTATGTGTGTGTTTTTTAACCTAATGATATATCCCCATAAAGGTGTATGGCCAAAATACTATGAGTTAAATTCACTTGAAATCGGCTGGGTGCCATTTTGAAATACAGAAAGTTTCATTTGTTTGTTTGTTTCTTTCTTTCTTTTTTTTCGATAAATAGACCTTATTTTTTAGAGCAGTTTTAGGTGTTTATTATTTCTTCTTTTTTTATTGTACTTTAGATGAAGGTTTATAGAGCAAATTTTCTCATTAAACAGTTAATACACATCTTGTTTTGTGACATTGGTCACCAACCCCACGACATATCAACACTCTCCTCTTCTCAACCTTGGGTTCCCCATTACCAGCTTTCCTGTCCCCTCCTGTCTTCTTGTCTTTGCCCCTGGGCTGGTGTGCCCATTTAATCTCATTTTATGGGCCTGTCTAATCTTTGGCTGAAGGGTAAACCTCAGGAGTGACTTCAGTACTAAGTTAGAAGGGTTTCTGGGGGCTGTTTTTATTTTTAAATAGTTTTTAAAAATTGATTTCTTAATTATATAAAATTGCATAGTTCCAAAGTTAAAAGTTGATATACAATAAAGTACATTATTTTATGTATGTGTATTTATGTTGTTCCCACAGTCTTTCTTACACAAAATGTAGTATACCATAACTACTTTTTCCATGGTTTTTTAAAATTTAAAAGTATATTCTGTATATCACTCTATAGAAGTATGTTGAGATGTTCTATATTCTTTTTCACGGTTGCAGAGTACTGTTTATTTTGTGGATGTACTATAGTTTATTTAAACCAGTTCTCTACTGATGGACGTTTGAATTGTTTCCATGTTATTTTCTCTTATAATTTACTGTGCAGCAATGAATAGCCTGGTTTATAAGTTATTTAGTGTTTATTTATTTATTTTTGTATTTAGTATTTTGCCAACATGTTCTTTTAAAACAGCTTTATTGAGATAAACGTCACATGCCATAAAATTTATCCCTTTAAAGTGCACAGTTCAATGGTTTTTCATGTACTCACTGAGTTATGCAACCATCACCACAGTCAATTTCAGAACATTTTCATCACCCCAGAAAGAAACCCTGTACCTATTAACTGTCACTCCCTGTTCTGTGCCCCAGCCCTAGGCAACCACTAATTTCCTTCCTGTGTCTTTTCTGAGCATTTTATATAAATGGAATAATATAGTATGGGGTCTTTTGTGGCTGGCTTCTTTCACTTAGGATAATGTTTTCAAGTTTTTTCCATGTTGTAACATGTATCGGTTCTTCATTCCTTTTTATGGCTGAATACTATTCTGTTGCACTTGGGTTGTTTCTACTTTTTTTGCTAGAATATTTTTTGAATAGAGTTCCAGAAATGTGCTGTACAAAGGGCAAATGCTTGTATAATTTGATAGACATTGCTAAATTCTCCTCCATTTTGCATCCCCACCAGCAATGTGTGAGAATGTTTTTTTACCAGAACCTTGCCAATAGAGAATGTTGCTGTCAAACTTTAGGATTTTTCCCCAGTTTGATAGGGTTTTTCATGGTACTTCAATATTTTTGTAAATTATATTGAAGTGTAACATTGACGGGCACATATCATAAGTTTATGGCTCAGTAATTTTATGCAAAGTTAACTTATCAAGAAAGGATTACTTCCAGAATCCCAGAAGCCTGCTTATACTCTTTCTAGTCTCTACGCACCGTTAAGAATAACCATTATCCTGACTTCAAACACCATAGATTAGTTTTGTCTGTTTTTTAAAGTTATATAAATGTAATCCTGTAGTATATAGTTATTTGTGTCTAGTTACTTTAGCTCAACGTCATGTTTGTGAGTCATCCATGTTTTATATATAGTTGTAGTTCACTTGTTCTCATTACTGTATAGTATTCCATTGGTTGGATATGCCACAATTTATCCATCCTATTGTAGATGGACATTTGATTTGTTTCTAGTTTCTGGCTCTTAAGTATATAGAACTGTTCTGTATCATGATTATGATGGTTGATACATGACTCTGCATTTTTCAGAACGCATAGAACTGTACACCATGAAGAATGAATTTTTCTATATGTAAATTTAAAAAAATATTTAAGAAAAAAGAATAGTGCAATTATGAGCACTCTTGTACATGTCTCTTGGTGAACATATGTACACATTTATATATATACATATGTGTGTATATAAATAAGTATATGTATATATACACACAAACACACAGGAACTCTGGTGATGCAGTGGTTAAATGCTTGGCTGCTAACCGAAAGATCAGCAATTCGAACCCACCAGCTGCTCCAGCAGAGAAGGATTTGGCAGTCTGCTTCCGTAAAGATTACAGCCTTGGAAACCCTATGGGGCAGTTCTTCTCTGTCGTATAGGGCCACTATGAGTCAGCATCGACTTGATAGATTTGGATTAGGAGCCCTTGTGGCGCACTGGTTAAACACTGGGCTGCTAATCAAAAGGTCAGCAGTTCCAACCCACCAGCTACTCTGTGAGCGAAAGATGTGGCAGTCTGCTTCCGTGAAAATTTACAGCCTTGGAAACCCTCTGGGGCAGTTCTACTCTGTCCTGTAGGGTCGCTATGAGTCAGATTGGACTCACCAGCAATGGGGTTTGATTTATACATTTACACACACACACAGTGAAATCTATGAGAGCCGGAACTTGACGGGACTGCCTTGTTTCCCCTTTGACAGGGTATAGTCTTGCCACTTTTTTATTGCTCTGTATTAGTGGAAAATATTTGAGTTTTCCTCCTCTGACAGATTTCTGCCTTATACAAGTTTCAGCTTTCTCAGATTTTACTGTATATAACAACATTTACCAATTCAACCTTCAGGTGTATAGCTCAGTGAGATAGCTTACATTAATTATATTGTGCAAGCATCCCCTTAATCAATGCTAAATCTCCTTTCACCATAAACAGAAACTACTTCCCAAACAATGAATGCAGTTGAACATCATTTTATGTTTAAGATCTATTTGCATTTATTTTTCTGTGCGCTGCTCATTGTTTTGCCTATTTTTTATTGGGCTCTTCTTTGTCTTCTTATTTTTTTGAAGCCCTTAATATATTAGGGATGTTAGCCCTTTGGGATATAAGTTGTAAATAAATATTTTCTTCAATTTATCATTTCCAGACTTCCTTTTTATCTCTTGTATTGTTAGGTGATTTCACTTAAACATGTCAAGAATTTCTGTCTTTTCCACATCCAGAAGGACTTTAAGATGTCCTTCATTCCTTTCCCTTTGCCACTTCTGGCCTCTTGCTATGGCAGTACAGCTATGCTCTTTGGGAAGTATTTGCCAGAGTATAGGTGAGACTGTTCTTGACTAGATGTCCCAGCATTAAATCTCTTGGTCACCTCTTCCCACCACCTATGCAGAGATGTTTTGTTTTTGAAGATTTTATAGAAGCCCAGTGTTTCCTTTCTTTAGTGAGACCTCACCTCACAGGCAGTGTCCACATTTCTATTAAGTTAGTTTGTGGGTTATAAAAAGACTTCAATTTATTCTTTCTAACAGGAAAGAGATTATTTTCAGATCAACCTTTTCTCTTTTATTCCATTCTTTAAAACAAAACAAAACAAAACCAATTCCCATTAAAAAGAGTACTGCATTATCAGTATTAAAAAATCTAGAAATTATAAAAAGAATCTTAGAGCCCTTTCTATAGCACCTGGTACTCCCTTCCCCTTTCTCCTCAAATCCAGGAAGAGTCAGTCACAACATCTCTCCCTATTCTTTGCCTCTTCACAGGATCATATACCACACTTGAGTTAGGTAGTTGGGAGTTATCCCCTTATCCCAATTAAAAACTATATATTAAAAAATAGAAATGGGAGGAAAGAAAGAAAAAAGATCACCCCAGTTCCAGCACCCACAGACAGGCATTGTTAATAGCTTAGCCTGGTGTCTTCCAGTAGTATAACAGTTGCATAAAGTCTCACATGATTCTGATCGTTGTTCTACCTCATTTATTACAGTGAGTATGGCTTTGCCGAGAAGGTAGTAGAGGGGATGTTCATTATCGTTAATTCCATCACCATCAAGATTCACTCCAAGGCCTTCCATGCCTCTTTTGAGTTGTGGCAGCTCCAGGGCTACAGTGTCAACCCCAACTGGCAACAGAGTGATCTCCGCCTCACCCGCATCACTGACCCCCACCGTGGAGAGGTGACAGCCCTAGCATTGTGAGGGGGAAAACGGTGGGGGAGGGGGGAGGGGTGGGGTTTCAAAGTAGGACTAATTCTTAAAGGATATTGTTCCTGCTTTGGAGATTTCTTCTAATGCTCCCCTATCCCTAGGATCCTACCTAGAATCTCTCTATCCAGTGTTACTACTACGTCCTTTTCTCTTTTATGGATCTTAGATCCCACTGCGTTCTGTTGTTAGGATCCCAACTGAGAACAATGAGACTCTGCTTTGCCAGTCTTTTTGCCTTCGACTTCCTGCCTCTTGGTGAATTTCATCCCACACCACTAAGGAGTTTTACTTTCTCTCCTTCCAGGTTTTAACATTTAAGGAAATAACTTGGCAAACACTTCGAATTGAGGCAGATGCCACAGACAATGGTGATCAGGACCCAGTCACTACTCCACTGAGGCTTATTACCAACCAGGGCAGGATCCAAATAGCCCTCAAGAGAAGAGTGAGTGTGTTCTCTGTCCACATGAAAACGTCCATTTTTATTCTCCTAGACAGTATGGGAGTTGGTGTTCCCACATTTTTTAAAATGTTACTGGCCACTGGAATGACAGTTGAAAGGTCAGGGCCTGTAATTCAATGTTGCACAGTATCCAGCAGTGTCGTCTTAATTTTGGAATCCACAGTTTTCCACCATATACAGGGACACTGACATAGGCACCTGGCAGTTTACTATTGCTGCTTCTTGCTGATCATAGAAAACTTTAGTAGTTTTGGAAGAAATTGGCTCTCCAAAGTGTTTGATATTTTTCTTTCATATACTGGGGTTTGAAAAGCCATCTCTGAAATTGATTGTGCAACACTGACTTTGAGGAGTTAAAGTGGTACAAGATGATTGAATCCCATGTTCTCTGTGGCCCCCTCAGACCAAAGATTGTAACGTGATTGCCTCCAAGCTGATGTTCCTGTTGGATGACCTGCTCTGGGTGCTAACTGACTCGCAGCTCAAGGCCATGATGAAGTATGCAGAGTCGCTGAGTGAGGCCATGGAGAAGGCGGCCCAGCAAAGAAAGAGCCTTGCCCCTGAACCTGTGCAGGTCAGAGGCAAAACACACTTTTGGTGGGGCTGGAGTGATGGTAGGCCAGACCTAATTAGTGCCAGCATACGTGGATTCTAGTCTTCATTTGGCTTATTTGGGGGATTTATCACATACTTGTGGATATGCACAGGCTTTGCCTGCAGCTCTGATTTATTCATTTATTTTGTATATTATGTGCCTGTAGGTATACAGTGCTAGCCACTGCAGAGGACAAGTGGAATCAACCTCTTGTTCCTGTCCTTGGGGCCCTCAGTGACTTGAATGATAGGCTCTAAACAAGTTATTAGAACATGGGGTGATTAGTGTAGTAATAGAGGTGAATACTATGCCATGAGAGCACAAAGGAGGAGGCATCTAATTGCCCAGGCTGAAAGAGTGCATTTAGGGAAAACTTTCTGGAGGAGGTCTGTCTTAGTTATCTAGTGCTGCTGTAACCACAAGTAGATGGCTTTAACAAACAGAAATTTATTCTCTCACAGTTTAGGAGGCTAGAAGTCTGAATTCAGGGTGCCAGCACTAGGAGAAGGCTTTCTTTCTGTCAGCTCTGGAGGAAGGGCCTTATCTCCTCTCAGCACCTGTGGGCCCTGTGTTCCTTGGAGATCTCCATGTGTCTTGACATCAGTCTTTTCTTGGGTCTAAGAGGTCCTCAGCACAGGGACCCTGGGCCCAAAGAATGCGTTCCACTCCCCGGTCTTCTTTCTTGGTGGTGGTTAGGTCACTCTCCTCTCTGCTCACTTCTCTCTCCTTTTATCTCTTGTAACATAAAAGGTGTGACTCAAGTGAGGGTGTGACTTGAATAAGGCTGTGACTTAAAATACACCCCACACTAATCCTGCCTCATAGAGGTTTGGGATTTACAACCCATAAAATGGAGGATAATTACATCAGATCACAAAATGAGGGACGGTTACATACTACTGGGAATCATGGTGTAGCCAAGTTGACACATACTTTTGAGGGTCACAGTTCAATCCCTGACAAGGTCTTCCAGCACAGTCAGCTGAGTGAGAACTTAGAGGGCAATTCAAACCTTAGATCAGTATTCTGACAGTTATTACACTAATTATAATGAGGCTTTTTGGAGTTTGGGTTATTTAGGTGGGATGGACCTAAGTGAGCTACCAGGCAAACAGTTTTGAGAGGAAAGGAGCATCTTGCTGAACTGATTTTCTTCAGGCTGGATTAAAAGTTGAAGAAAGCATGCAGAGGAGCTTGTCAGGGTCTGGACCTCTTGTTTTTCTCTCTGTCACATGTAGATCACCCCACCTGCTCCCAGTGCCCAGCAGTCCTGGGCCCAGGCCTTCGGTGGCAGCCAGGGCAGCAGCAACAGCAGCAGCAGCCGCCTAAGCCAGTACTTCGAGAAATTTGATGTGAAAGAGTCCTCCTATCATCTGCTCATCTCTCGCCTGGACCTGCACATTTGTGATGACAGCCAGTCCCGAGAGCCAGGTACCCCGGGAGGCTGGAGCCTGGTCTGGGTGGTCCACATCACTTATCCTCAGCTCTGGGCAAAGCTTGGATGGAGATGAAGGGTCTTTTCCAGAGCCACCATGGAGTACTTTGGTTGGCTTCACTTAATCACAGACATTCCTTGGGCCTCTGCCCTCCTGTGGTACCTCTTTCTGTGAGTGTAAGGCAGTGCTTCTCAGCCTTTAGGGTGCAGCAGAACCTCCCATAATACTTAATAAAATGGAGATGCTGGCCCTGCCCCAAGCCCCCCTAAATTAGAATCTTCACACATAAAGCCAAGCAGTGTTTACTTCTTTTTTTCTCCCCAAAATCCCTTCGGTAGTGCCAGTGCTTGCCAGAGGTTGAGAAGCGCTATTGTAAACTTCTAGGCAAGTAAATTCAACTATAGGAAACCTCAGGGTTTTCAGATTTTTGAGTCAATTTAAAAAGTTACTGTGTGCAAGTGTGCTCTTCCCAAGCAGGGGGGTTATGTGTTCTTCACATGCTCTTACATTCATTAGTGCATTGGTATTACCTACACATATCCATTTATTCAGAATGAAAAAGGTAATTGTCTCATTTCTTTTCTTTACGAGACTTGAGGAAATCACTTAAACTCTCGCTTAGCCTCTTTGAGTTACCTCGTAGGTGGCTGTCAGTCTCAAATGATATATTGTATTTGGAGGACCTTAATTATAGGCAATATTAAGTATTATTACTCTGCAGCTTATTTTTTCAGTCCTCCATCCGTGTTCCCCCTATAGTCCCCTTTGTCACCAGCTTTTGATTTCAGCTGTTTGAGTCTTAGATGTTCCCATATGTTTGATTTTTGTCTTGCTGCCTGTCTTCTCTGAAAATTGTGTTTGCCTCTTAATGAGACATAGACCCAGTTTGTTGCGGGAGCCTACTTATTCTTCTCTTTTCTTCCTGGGGCGCCAAGCAGCACTGCCTGTCTTACTTGGCAATTCCTCGGTCTTGAAGTGACTGTAACCCCCCTCCACTTGCCCTACTCTGAGAGGACAGGAAGGAGCAGTGACAGGATAAAGATTGCTTTGCCACCACAGGAAATCAATTGCTCACTGATTTGCCACTCATTTTGGAAATTCTTTGCTAAAACAGTTATTATTTTATTTGGTTGTTTTGTCGAAGTTTTACCATAAAGGCTTTTATTTTCTAAAATCTTTTCAGAGATTAATGTATTAAAAGTACATTATTGAGAGTTTCACCCTATTGCTGGTGAGGGATGTGTAGCACTGTCCTCTTCAAGTGGCTGGGTTCTGTAATCTACACTAAGATGTGAATGACTGTAGGCTCCCTCCTACCTCCATCTCCCCCAGGTTATTTATTAAACCAAATTAATCTACTTGGTGAAATTTGAGGAAGTTTTGGCGGAGAGATTTTTGAGCAGGGGGCTAACTCCCAGCCTGCCTTACCCAAGTGTGGTATGTGACCCTGTGAAGAGGCAAAGAACAGGGAGAGTTATTGTGACTTTGACTCTTCTCCTTGGATTTGGGGGAAAAAAAGAGGAAGTGAGAACTAGATAGTATAGAAAGAGCTCTATGATTCTCTGGAGTTGTGCTGGCTGATATGGTAACCACTAGTCACATGTGACTACTGGGCACTTGAAATGTGGCTGATTGAAATTGAGATGTGCTGCAAGTGTAAAATACACACTAGATTTTGTAATACCAAAAAAAGAAAAAAGTGTAAAAATACCTTAATAATTATTTTCATATTGTTTGCAGGTTGAAAATGGTAATTGGGTATACTGGTTTAAATTATTAAACTTAATTTCACTTTTTTTTTCTATACTTCTTTTCATATGGCTATTAGAAAATTTGAGATTATTTATGTGGCTTCTATTATATTTCTGTTGGACAGCACTGCTGTAGAACTCCTTCCAGTATGTTCACTAGTGTGCGGCTATTTAAATTAAAATTAAATAAAAATTTAAAAATTCAGTTTCTCATTTTCACTAGCCATACTTCAAGTACTCAATATAATCTATAGATCACAGAATATGTCCATCATCACAGAAAGTTCTTTTGGACACTGTTGCTCTAGAGATTCCCTGAAGGCTACACTTACCTACCTTTTCAATTAAGGAATACTATAGCCTGGACGTTGGTGCCCCTGACTAACATGCTCACCTCTCCCTTGATATTAGCGGTGAAATGATTGTAAACTGGGTCATTGTGGTCAGCTTGGCTTGAGGTGAGGCAGCACTGTCTTGCTAGCTCTCTTTTTTTTTTTTAATATTTTATTGTGTTTTAGGTAAAGGTTTACACAGCAAACTAGATACAGCACTGGCTCTTAAAACCAAACGGAGAGCTTATCCTTCAGGCTTCAGAGAGGAGGTTGGCAATTGATGGAGGAAAAAAGAGTATCGCTTACCTACTTTTAACTGTTTTTCCTCAGGATAAAGCCTGTGAACCAAAAATTTCTTGTTTCTCTTTCTCAAGGCTAGCTTTCCTCTTTCCACCAGCTCACTAGAGAATTTTAATTACTTACTTATATGCTCTTATTTATCATTGATGTCTAATATATCATTATGTGTTTTCAATTAAGTGTCTTGGTAATTGTTAATTATATTTTATTTCAACTCTGGATCCTGTTTTAATATGTTCAGTTCATGTAGTGTGTTGTTCTTTTAGCTCCAGTTAACTTCAATTGAGGGAACACTCTCTCCCTGCAGTAGTCTAGGTCATGCATTTTCAATGGGTTGATATCACCCCAAGGAGGTGAAAATTGACTCTTTTTCTAAACAGCTTTATTGAGATACAATTCACATACCATACACTTCACCCATTTAAAGTATACAATTCAGCATTTTTTAGTATATTCATAGGGTTGTGTAACTATTACCAGAATCTAATTTTAGAACATTTTTGTCCCTCCCTAAAAGATACTCTGTACTCATTAGCTGTCACTCCCCATTTCCCCTTCCCTTAGCCCTAAGCAACCACTCATCTACTTTCTGTCTTGATATTTGCCTATTTTGGACATTGAAAATTGGTTCTTGGGGGACAAAAAAAATCTTAGATATAACAATGGTTTGTGGCCCTCCAAAACTTAACTATACTCGACAAAATCTTGTTCCTTAGTATTAAATTTCTCTCATTAGCTTTTCTTGGGTATCATACGAGCAGCAATGACATAGAATTATAGAAGATGCACAAAATGTATGCAAGATCAGTGCTACAAAATAAATAAATAAATAGATAGCTGTGATTGGAGAACTTTCTCTCAATTGATTGCTCCATCTCAAAGTCAAATGGCGAGCGGTGACCTGTGCATGCCTATTGGCTGCCATTGGCTGCCTTGTTAGTGTTGTTCATGTTTGATTCTTGGTATTTTTGTGATCTGGCCTTTGAGAATTAAATAAAATTAGTTTAATTTTTTTAATTTTACAAAAGTTATTCAGCCTCTAATTAAATTAACAAGTGCTGAAAAGAAAAATGTTGACAATATCTGAATGAATATCTAGTGCTAGTTTAGTTAAAAGTTATTTCTCTTAAGAAGCAAAATTTAAAAGTTAAGTTCACTAAAAATAATTTTTAAGAAATTAATTTAAAATTTTCAGTTATTTTTTGCTGAAAATACAGTTTTGAATAATTTTAAAGACTTGATTATTATTATTATGTACAGTAGTCTCTTGGTATCCATGGGGCATTGGTTCCAGGACCCCTGCGGATACCAAAATCCTCCGATGCTCAAGTCCATCATATAAAATGGCATAGTATTTGTATATAACCTATGCATCTCCTCTTGTATACTTTAAATCATCTCTGGATAACTTATAATACCTAATACAGTGTAAATGCTATGTAAATAGTTGTTATACTGTATTGTTTAGGGAGTAATGACAATAAAAATGTCTTTTTTTAAAAAATATTTTTTGATCTGTGGTTGATTGAATCTGCGATGTGAAACCTGTGGAAACGGAGGGTCAGCCGGCTGTGTATATATATTGCATACATACATATATGTGTGTGTATATGTATGTATATATATAAATTGCTAATTTGCATATATAATTAGGCACATTAAAATTTATATAAGTAAATAAATTACATTAAAAGTTACTCAGCAAATACAGTTGTAAAGTTAAATATTAATAGCTTTAAATTTTTAATTTAATTTTTCACTTTAAATTTTTAATCATTTTTAACCCTGCATTGAATAAAAAGGGTAAGTTTTATACTTACTCTTTTTATGTACAAACCACAGGTAAACACACAGTACATAAGAAGATACACATTATATCTGTGGTATTAAAATTTTATGGGGGCAGGTTAGGAAAAAAATATCTAAAAAGGCTCCTTCAGGGAGTGATAATAAAAAAATAAAAGGTTGAGAAAGAGAAACACTATTGTAGGTGAATCTCTTGCCAGGATGGTGAATGGTCCAGAATTTGGGATGATGAAATCTAGATTAGATGAAATTGACCCCTAGTTGAAGGGTACCAGTTTATACCTAGAAGATTCATGGTATTTCCGTTCTCTCATTTCTGTGGTTGTTTTCCTCATACTTATTGAGCATCTACTATGTACAAATTTTTTCGCAAATAACATGTGCTATCCTTTTTTTTGCCAACGGTACAACCTCCCCGTATGTTATTTTCTTAAGTGCTCTGTGCCATTTTTTTTTTTACATGTTGTTGGCTTAAATTGACACTGAGAAGATGTCTTAGTCATCTAGTGCTGCTATAACAGAAATATCACAAGTGGATGGCTTTAACAAAGAGAAATTTATTCTCTCACAGTATAGTAGGCTACAAGTCCAAATTCAGGGTGTCAGCTCCAGGTGAAGGCTTTCTCTATCGGCTCTGGAGGAAGATCTTTGTCATCAGTCTTCCCCTATTCTGGGAGCATCTCAGCACGGGAAACCTCAGGTCCAAAGGATGTGCTCTGCTCCTGGCACTGCTTTCTTGCTGGTATGAGGTCCCCAAGTGTCTCTGCTCGCTTCTCTCTTTTATATCTCAAAGGAGATTGGCTTAAGACATTATCTAATCTTGTAGACCTCATCAGTATAACCGCTGCTAATCCATCTTATTACATCACAGCGATAGAGTTTACAATACGTAAGGAAATCACATTAGATTACAAAATGGTACACAGTCATACAATACTGGGAATCGTGACCCAGCCAAGTTGACATATTTTTTGGGGCACAAGTCAATCCATGACAGAAGACATAATTAAACTATGAAACAAGCAGACCCAACATAACCTAATGCTTTCACTTAACAATCTGATAAGGTTTTCATATTTAACTGTTGAGCTAATGCGCTATAATTATCAACTTAAACCAATAGAAACAAACACATAATTTTAATTGCTTATTTTCTGATTACTGGGGGACTATCAAACAACTCAATCCATGACTGCTTGACCATGGCTTGTACCTTTATCATACAATTATGATCAAAAGTAACATTTTCGGACTATTTTTATACACATAAGCAGGAGATTAAAGAAAATGAACAGAATGCAAGAAAATGAACAGAACGATATGTTTTACCTGTAATAGGGGAGGATGGGTGAATGATGCCAAAATTCACTTCTGGAAATGTCACAATACATGCACCGTATATGCATGGCTGTGCTATGCCAGAACTATGTTACTTAATTATTTCTGGGTGTCGAGTGTGGGCGCATTATTTATGTGGGTGCATTATTTGCTAAAAAACATGGTATTTTAGCGTCTTGTAGGGGACAGGGTGGAAGTGCAGAACAGGGTGGGTCAGATGATACGCATATGTAGAAGAAACAGTCCTTACTCTTCAAGTTCTTATAGTCTAGTTGCAGAGATGAGAAACATGGAAAGTTCATTCATTTTGTAAGAAATATGAATTCAAGATAAACACAATGTAATATTTGACTTATTGCTAGAAATTCCAATTCACCTGCCATATTCTATATTTTTATTTTATAATGTCCCTGTCTTTGCAATGTTTTCGGTGTTTTTTGGTACTTTGAATGCATAGTATGTAACGATTGTTTACTGTCACAGCTTTAGCACTGAAGCCAGGATGTAAAAGGAAATAATAAAGGTTCTGTATTAGGGGGAATCTGGCTTATGCTTCTCCACGTATTATGCTGAGGGACAGCAATACTAGTATTGTTAGGTTTGGGGGAGACAATCAAGAATGTTGTGTGTGTCTGTGGGGGACCTAAGATTGGAATTCCTCAATCCTGAGTTTTGTAGTCTCTGTTGCCTTTGTGGAAATCTGGCAGCCATTTCCAGAGATGATTAATGGAATATAACTTTTTTTTTTTTTTTTAATCTCTTAGTATGTCCATTGATTGTTGCAACTCAGAAAGGGAGGTCTTGAGCCTTGCAAATCACCTGACATCATGGCCTTTCAGCTGCACTGAGTGTCACCTGGCTTTGGGGCTGGCCCTCAAGAGGATTTCTAAATGCTTCAGTTGGTGTTTAGATTTCTCTGTTACTTCTGCTGTTATTCACCTGTATTTTTCTTTTACAGGTGTCTCTGCAAACAGACTCACGGGTGGTGCCATGCAGCTTACCTTCCGCAAGATGGCATTTGACTATTACCCCTTCCACTGGGCAGGTAGGAGAATTCTGAATAGGGAGAGTTCTAGCTTGGCCCAAAGGATGGAGGGAAGATTCCTAAGTTTATCCCTGACTACTCAGCAGGAAGTGGTGCCAGGAGCTACAGCACATGCTTAGAAAGGTGTTGAGAATACAATTTTTCAAGAGGGCATTTTCTAGAATCTTGTGGACCACACTATTGATGATTCTTTATCAGTGATGAGTGGAAGTAGGGAGGGGAGATGTCACTTTTGATTCTACCCTCTGCCTCTTACTTTCACTAGTTTTAGAGCCTCTCTAGTAGTCTGCATTCAAAGATGGCAACAGTCAGCCGCTGGCTTTTAGGGAGCCTTAGGGGAACATCACATATGGATTGCAGAAGAACTTGGGTGTTCTTAACTGGATAACTATTCCTTATCTCAGAGAATTCTGGATTAGGGATGAGGCATTGGATTCTGAGCTATGACTATACCGACAGAAAGGAAAAAATGGAACATTGGATCATGGTCTTGGGCTAAATGCTTTTTGCTTCTTTTTTGTACAGGTGATAGCTGCAGACACTGGGTACGGCACTGTGAGGCCATGGAGACCCGAGGCCACTGGGCTCAGAAACTGGTGATGGAGTTTCAGAGCAAAATGGAGAAGTGGCATGAGGAGACAGGTCTAAAACCACCCTGGCACCTGGGAGTAGACTCTCCCTTCCGGAGGAAGGCAGGTGGGTTATGAGAAGCTGAAGAACTCCAGCTGCTTAGCCTCTTGCCATTTACCTTTGAATAACCTGTGGAGATAAAGCAACTGGCTAGCTAATTATCCTAACTTATTTCTAACTAATTATCCCAACTTTATCCCATTGAGAGATATCAGTGACTTTTTTCTTTACAGAGTTCTGTTTGTCCCCAGAGATAGCTGCACTGTTGAAGAGAAGTTGGCATCATGTTTATTCAATAGGCTATTGTCTTGGTCTTAAGGAGAATATATTTTTTTATCTCCATCCAGGAGCTAGACAATGTTAAGCTCTCTTTTCTACGTACAGCAGAAATGACCTGGGTACAGTACTTTCCTGATTCTATTAATAACGAGAGTTGAATGTGTTTGATTCTCTTTTCCACCTTCTTATTTTTATTTAGATTCTCTTTCCAGTCCTCGAAAGAACCCCCTTGAGAGAAGTCCCTCTCAGGGCCGACAGGCTGCCTTTCGGCCCCCAGCATGGAATCGTTTACGCTCCAGCTGCATGGTGATACGAGTAGATGACCTGGATATCCACCAGGTGAGGAGCCCAGGACTTGGGAAACATGATTGGAAAGGGGTGGAGTGGTTCATTTGTAAGGCAACTGGAATAGCATGCACAAGGTTGTGGAATTTGGAGGCTGTTTCCCTCACTTCTGAGTGAATTGATGACTTGGTTTGTTTCCTTCTGAGCATGTCTGCTGAGATCAGGACTTCAGAATTCCCCCAATTTTCCTCTGAATGCCCTACTACAAACCTCCCACTAAAAAAAAGCAACTTGTGGGTAGTGTTAGGCAAGTGTGAGAATGCCTAGAATATGTGTGAAAAGCACTAAGCTCCCTGTGACGAAAGTGGGGAAGATACTAGAGGCTTTTGTACTTTCCTCAAAAGAAACTGAGTTGTATTCTGGTGCTGCTATAGATACTGAGTAACTTGTGATTGTGCTTAGGTTTCTACAGCTGGACAGCCAAGTAAGAAACCATCTGCACTCCTTTCCTGCAGTCGGAAACTCCACAAGCTACCCACTCAGGTCTCTGCCATTCATATTGAGTTTACAGAGTATTACTTCCCAGATAATCAGGAGCTTCCAGGTAAGCATCTGGTCTGGTCTTTTCTTACTCTCCAGTTTACGCACTTCATATTTGTCAGCCTTGGGCCCACTACTTACATCCTCATTTGTTGTTAGGATTTTTAGGTGTTTAAGTTAGTTTAGCACACTTTTGTCAGAAACTCTGCCCTGTATAACTGTGTACGTTTGCCTTAATATAAAATGAAAGCGTGTAGCTGCTGCTTTCTACGTGGTGATTCTTTTTTTCTCCACTTTCCAGTTCCATGTCCCAATCTCTACATTCAGTTAAATGGTCTGACATTTACTGTGGATCCTGTCAGCTTGCTCTGGGGAAACCTCTTTTGCCTGGATTTATACCGCAGCTTGGAGCAGTTCAAAGCTATCTATAAGCTGGAAGATTCAAGCCAGAAAGATGAACACTTGGACATCCGACTGGATGCCTTTCGGTTGAAGGTAGGGTGAGAGGGATTTTTGTTCCCTATGGATAAACACAGCAATAATCCAGGGTTCTGCTCTCTCCATTTGATGGAAATAAAAAAAAAGTTTCACAGCCCAAATAGCCTGTCACATGTGTATTAATGGTGCATTGCTAAGATACTCAGATGAACATTCTGAATTTTGTTTCATTTTCTCTCTGAAGGTGAGCTGCCCACTGGAGAAGAGAGAACAGGCTGGGTTGCATCGTCCCCAAGCCCTTGTCATCTCTGCATCAGGCATGAGTGCCACCAATACACGTCATGCCCCACACTGTAGCTGTGCAGACCTCCGGAACCTCTTCCGGGGTTTTGCTGCTACTGAGTTCTTTCATTCCAGCTATGTTCACTTCCCCAAGGTTCCAGGTGGCTTTAGCTTTCTGCACATGCTTTTTTTGCATAATGCCTTTCAGCTGGATTCCCACCTCCCTCAGCCTAATGTTTTCTCTCCCCAGAGGCCTAAGGCTTCCCAGGATCTCTGGTCCATCCACTTCACTCAGATCTCTTTGGACTTTGAGGGAACAGAGAACTTCAAAGGCCATACCTTGAATTTTGTGGCCCCTTTCCCCTTGTCCATTTGGGCCTGCCTACCCCTCCGCTGGCAGCAAGCCCAGGCACAGAAGCGCCTTTTGGCTGCAGAGGGGAGGCTGAAACCATCAGCCAGCTTTGGCAGTCCTGTCCATTCTGAGGCCCTTGTCCCTGACTCTGTGTCCCATCAGAGGTCAAAGACTGAGCAAAATTTGAAAAGCCTGTCAGGACTTACGGAAGTCATGGAAATTCTGCAAGAGGGCAGAGATGGTGCAGACAGCAAAGGGCCTCTGACAGAGCTGGAGGATGCAGCAGATGTTCACATGCTTGTACACTCCCCTGCCCATGTCCGTGTGAGGCTTGACCACTACCAGTACTTGGCTCTGCTCCGCCTGAAGGAGGTGTTGCAGGGTCTTCAGGAGCAGCTGACTAAGGATACAGAGGCCATGACTGGGACTCCCCTGCAGGACCAGACAGCTTGCGTTGGAGTCCTCTTCCCCAGCGCTGAAGTGGCTCTGCTCATGCATCCTACCCCTGGGGCTGGTGAGACTGACTCTGCAGGTTCAGATACCACCAGCGTCATAGATTCAGAGCTTTCTCCTTCAGAGGATCAGGGGGTGAAGTCTGATGCCTCCTCAGACCAGGGCCCAGCAAGCCCTGAGAAGGTCCTGGAGGCTAGTGGCATTGAAAATCTGGATGTATCCCAGGATAGGCCACTGCCTCTCCATAGTAATGGAGAACTGCAGGACTCAGGTTCACTTGCTCCGCAGCTGGCAGGGAAGGGCCATGAGGCAGTCGAGTCCCTCCAGGCCAAGAGACTGAGCAGAGCCCAAGCATCCAGCTCACCTGCTGTGTTGAAGCCCCCAAGTGGCAGAGATACTGCTGTGAATGGAGAGGGTGAGCTCATCCCCTTGAAGAACATTGAGGGAGAGCTGTCAAGTGCTATTCATATGACCAAGGATGCCACCAAGGAGGCCCTACATGCCACCATGGACCTCACCAAGGAAGCTGTGTCCCTGACTAAGGATGCCTTCAGTCTGGGCAAAGACCGAATGACCTCCACCATGCACAAGATGTTGTCCCTGCCCCCAGCCAAGTGAGTAGTTCTCCACCTCCTTTAGTCACCCCATCTATTCCTCTTAGCTGGGAACATCAAGCTTAAGGTCTCATCCTGTGTGCACTTTTAGATTAGGAAGCACCATGTAGTCTAGGAGAATGCATAGAGTGGCCCAATTAATGCGGCAAAGCCTCTAGTTTTCAGAGCTGCCTATGGGGCAGTGGAAGAATTTTCCAGCTACTTAGGGGATACAGGTTATACTAGCTGGAGAGACTTATTTTCAGGACTACATCTAATTCTGTGGTAAGGGAAGAACCAGAAATTACAATAAAGTGACACAACATCCTGTGGACTTTCATATGCCTCCATATATTGTAGCCTATTGGGCAATTGCCAAGTCTACATTTATTGTTACCTAGAATCAGGTTATCTCCTCTTTCACCAGTTCACTGTTATTGATACAGATAAGCTATATCTGAATAATCATGCCCGACATCTGTACAATATTTTATTTTCAGTGGGGTTTCATGTAATATTTTGTTTGATTTGATCCCCACAGCAGCCCAAGGAGGTAGCTATGGGTATTTGTATCCTCAGTTTATAACTGAGGAAACTGAGGCTTCAGATGAGCCCATGGATCCTGTATCTTGTAAGTAGAAAAGCCGGGGCTGGTACATCTTATCATTTTCATCTATTCATTCAACAAATATTTTTTAAGCCCTTACTGTGTGCTGGGCTCTATTACAGGCACTGGAGATACAGTAGGGAATAAGCAGGAAAACAGACTTGCATAATCAGAAGAGTAGAAAGGTATGGCTTTTCCCATGGATGCTTATGGCTTTAAGAAAGTTAATGAAGACTAAGGGAAATCTTTGCTGGGACACTTTGTGGTTTAGCAAGCATGATATGAAGATCTGTGGCCTTAGAGCTTTTGTCTAAGTGAATTGTTTTAAGTGAATCTAAGCAATGCCTATTGGTTGCTAGTACCTGCTAGGCAAAGAAAGCCTAGGAGGAAAAAGAGAGGAAAACTTGAAGGGTTGTGTGATACAATAATACTAGACAACATTTATTGAGTGGTGTCCAAGTACCAGGAACTGTTCTAAATACTTAATAGTAACTCATTAAATTCTTATAAAAACCCTCTAAGGCAAGTACTAATATCACTCCCCATTTTACAGATGAGGAAACTGAGGCTCAGAGACTTAAGGAACTTGCTCAGGATCACACAGCTTGTGGGTGGTAGGGCGAGGACTAAAAGCCTGGACTCTTAATCACCAAATTGTGCTGCCTTTTCTAGATGGAGAAGAGTAAGGGAGGTGGGAAAAGAGGAGAGGTGAAAAGAAAGAAGAAAGGTGTGTGATAAAAGCTCCTTTTTAAACATTAACAATGACTTCCTGACTGCTCAGTCTGGTGGCCCTTTCTCAGACCTTCTCTTAGACTCCTCTATGGCAGCTGACATTGCTCATCAGACCATTGCTCATCAGCTGACAATGCTCATCAGCATTTGTGACACCACCCCGTTACTTTTACTTCTCTGAGGCAATCTTCTCTTTTTCGTTGACTACTTTCTTCTTCCTTTTATGGTATAAATGTAAATATTTCCCAGGGCTAGGCTGTCCGCATTGATCACTTTTGTCATAATTCTTATTTTTTTAATTATAAAAATGATTTATGTTCATTGTATTGACGATGTAGAAAATACAGAGAAGAATAAAGAAGAAAATATAAAAATCATTTGCGGTGTATTATCCAGAGATAGCCACTATTTATGTTTGAGTTTCTTCTAATTTTTATACATATATTTGTGTGTCCGTGTGAATGTTTACATGTGTATACACTTACATAATATACACAAATATCATTTTTACAAAAATAGGATTATATTATTTCTACAGTATTGTATCCTGCTTTTGTCACTTAATGTTTTATTGTGAATATTTTCCCATTCATTAGGTATTTGAATACATGATTTTTAATTGCATGTTATCGTCTAGCAAATGGATGTATCATAATTTATTCAGCTAGTCCACAATTTGGTTCATTTAGTCTGTTTCGTTTTTCTTAGGTAGAACCAATACTGTGTTAAACTTCTTTATTTTTGTGAACATTACTCTTCGTGTATATTGTGCATAGCTGAATCTTCCTTTAGAATAAAAACCTAGAAGTGGAATTATTGGGTCAAGGGCTGTAAACATTTTTAAGGTTCTTGATGCATTTGCCAAACTTTCAAAAGGTTTGTTATCATTCTGTACTTTTGGATGCTTTCTCTCTACGTTATTTTATCCATCTCCTTATTTCTGGTATAGTCTATATTTTCAGTCGTGATTTCCCTTCCCTCCCCTGATCAAAGACTACAGTCTTCAGTATGGCTTACACCTCGACATAAAGAAAACAAAAATCCTTACAACTGGACCAATAAGCAACATCATGGTAAACGGAGAAAATATTGAAGTTGTCTAGGTTTTCATTTCACTTGGATCCACAATCAATGCCCATGGAAGCAGCAGTCAAGAAATCAAATGACGTATTTGCTTTGGGCAAATCTGCTGCAAAAGAGCTCTTTAAATTGTTGAAAAGCAAAAATGTCACTTTGAGGACTAAGGTGCGCCTGACTGAAGTGATGGTATATTCAGTCGCCTCATATGCATGTGAAAGTTGGACTGTGAATGAGGAAGACTGAACAAGAATTGATGCCTTTGAATTATGGTATTGGTGAAGAATGTTGAATATACCATGCATTGCGAGAAGAATGAACACATCTGTCTTGGAAGAAGTGCAGCCAGAGTGCTCCTCAGAAGCAAGGGTGGCGAGACTTCGTCTCACATACTTTGGGCATGTTATCAGGAGGGCCCAGTCCCTGGAGAAGGACATCATGCTTGGTAAGGTAGAGGGTCAGCGAGAAAGTGGAAGACCCTAAATGAGATGGATTGACACAATGGCTGCAACAGTGGGCTCAAGCATAGCAACAATTGTGAGCATGGTGCAGGACTGGGCAGTATTGTTGTACATAGGGTCGCTATGAGTTGGAACCGACTTAATGGCACCTAACAGCAATGACGACCCCTGGTCTTCATTTAAAACTATCTACTGGACATAGCTTCGTGTGGATCTCCCAGGGGTACCTCAAACCTCACATATATGAAACTAAATTCTCTACCCCTTCCTAGACCTGCCTTTCTTTTGGTACCACCATTCTTCTGCTCATTCAGGCCCTGCATTTTAGCTTTTTGTTTCTAGTTATTTGTTAGGTTCTGGGCATAATTTCTAGAGCAGTGGTTCTCAAACTGAGTGTGCATCAGAATTGCCCAGAGGGCTTGTTAAAACACAGATTGTTGAGCCCCACTCCCAGACTTCCTCATTCAGTAAGTCTGGATAACCCATTGCTGTCAAGTCCATTTAGACTCATAGCGACCCTATAGGTCTGGATGGGTCCCAAGAATTTGCATTTCTAACAATCCTCCCTTGATGCTGCTACTCTGACCCAACCACACTTTGAGAGCCCTGCTCTAGGGATCTCACATCAGTGTTTCCTGTCCATCCCTACAGACGGGACTATTTTAGTAAACTATTAATTGATTTCCTCATTGGAGGTATTTTCCTCTCTAGATTCTTTGAAAACACTAGGTCAAACTACCTGAAACACATATAGGATCTTGTTATTTCCCTACTCCAAAACCTTTAGGCTTTTTCCTTATACCTCCTGAATTTTGTCTGAATTCATTAGTGTGGCATAGTCAATTATTATGCTATATCCATATGGTGCTTTACAGTTTTCAAAACACTTTCATATATATATAAACTTTTATCCAGGGCTGTCTGTAAAATATGGCTGTAACCCATGTAGGAAAGTGAAAAGAACACTTAGTGGGAAGTTAAGAGATGGGTTTTTGTTAATTCTGTCTTTAGCTGTAGCCTTGGGTCAGTTTCTTTGTCTGTAAAATGAGACTAAAAGTTCTTTAAAGGTTTTTTTTTTTTTTTTTCCACTGTGTTATGCTTATAACTTTATCTTCTGCTGCTCTCCCCAACAAAACCTACACTCCACCTAGGCTGAGCTGCTTACTAGTCTCCAAAGTTACTTTTTGTTTTTTGGGATCCATGCCTTTGCTCATGCTGTTTCTTCCCTATAGAATGCCCTCTTCCTTATCTCTTACTTTCACAGCCCTTCAGGGACCATCTCAAGTGCCATCTCTTTCCACAAAGCCATCCCTTTCTCCTTATCCTTTCTCCTCTCTGATATTGCCTAGCCTTTGGCCTGTGACTCTGTGCCTCTCTTACAGCGCATGTGACTTCCTACCATGTACTGTTGTTATTTATGTATGTCTCCTTTTTCCTGAGAGATTATAAATTCTTTGAGGATAAGCACTGTCTTAGTCATCATTTTATCCACTCCCCCACCCTTGCCCTGTGCTTAGTGTGGTGCCTGTGTACTGAAGTTATTCAGTAAATATTTGTGAAATGAATGTGGGTGGCTTCAGGTGCCATCCATGAGCTCTGGGGATGTAGGTGGCTGGTGTCTTCTCTGTATGGAATGACCTTGAATAACCTTGACATTTAACATTGACATGAGATAGCTGCGTCTGCAGTTTGAGATTCTGGAACGAAAATGATTCAGAAAAGCCAATAGTTGAAAAATGGGATGATCCCCTTATAGTAGGTATTAGGTAAGGTTACTATTTATGTTCACATGAACTGTCTGGTCTCAAGGGTGGGGTATTGTAAGGAGGTGGGGACAAACATGTCTCCTAAGCCACATTAGTGGTTTTTGTTTTGTTTTTTAAAACAGGGAGCCCATGGCCAAGATAGATGAGGGTGTGACAGCGCCAATGAGTGGAGGTGCTGCCCGACTCCGCTTTTTCTCCATGAAGAGGACAGTGTCTCAGCAGTCATTTGATGGTGTCTCATTGGATAGCAGTGGCCCTGAAGACCGAATTTCAGTGGACAGCGATGGCAGTGATGGTTTTGTGATGCTCTCGGAGTCCGGTAAGTGGAAGTGGAGCCAGGCAGAACTGCAGAAGTCCAGAAAGGGCTGCCTCGCTACCTGTATTCAGACCAGCAGGATTCAAAAGGAGCTGAGATTTGATAAAATAGATGTTTTCTTAAATGACCTCCCCAAAAAGAGCGAGAGAGAGAAATTTTAATGAATTTGTCCCTCTGGCTTTATCTCCACATCTACTAAATTATCGATTAGTACATGACCTTTATCACAAAAAGAGACTTAGACAAAAGGAGAGAGCGCTATTCTTATAGCCATGTAGCTGCAACAGTAGGATTAGCTTTGTGACTGGTGTCATTGGTCACTGGTGTGTGTTTCTTGTCTGTTTTTTTTTTTTTGTTTGTTTGTTTTTGAACGTACAGGTACTTTCTTGCTCACCTTTCACACAAAGCACACCTCCAGCCACTTCTTTCAGTATTTATGACAATGTTTATGTATACAAAAACCCAGCAAGAAGCATCATGAAGATTTCAGTAAAGGAGAATGTAAAACATCAACTCAGCCGGGCTTTTGTTTTCTGCAGCAATAATAAAGGGCCTCCTGCACTAAGCAAAAATTCATCTTCTTTCTTGGTAGTTAGTGCGTTTCTTCCATTACAAAAAGAGTCTCCTGCCCAAAGCAAACCAACTTGTATTTGCTGAGCCAGTGGTATTAACTCTTGCATAAGACAAAGTTTAGTTTGCTGTTTTTTATACCAGATTTCATATAAAAAACAAGGTTGAAGGAGGAACTTGTTTTGGAAGGATGCAGGTCAGTTTGAATTGCTATACTTAACTAGATGCCTACATGTACTGTAGGTTCACAACGTAGTTTGCTTGTATTATTCTAACGGATTCTGGCTGTGTTCAAGGTTTTCAGAGTTAAGCATATGGTATAGTATTCCATCAGCAGGATAAGCCTACTGAGTGTAGTATCTGCAGAAGAGCTCATTTAACTGGAACAGACCTAACAGTTCTATCATGAAGCAGATGTGGCATAACCTCGAATGAAAAAGCCAGCCAGGGGCAGAACTGTGTTTGGAAAAGAGGCATTAGAATACTTCAGGCAAAACGCATATAAATGGATTGCTAATATGAGGAAAGTTTCCTAGTTGTAAATCTAAAAAAATCTAGGAGAATCCTCATTTTAAAAACTGCGTATTGAAAACTACTTATTCAAGTAATTTCTTCAAAAAAGTATGCATTTTCTGACTGTGGAATTAATCTATTGGCCAAAGATTAAAGGCAGCTTTTATTACCCTTGTAAAAAATCCTTTATACAAAGGAGAGATGTTGTGTTTCTCAAATAAACAACATTATACAAAGCCATTAAAAAAACCCGACAAACTGAATGATGACCTATAAATGCTTAAGCCAAGCAGGAATCTGCCTGCCATCTGTGATCTCATATTAATTCAAAATAGATTCTGGATTCAGGGTTCTGAGACTAAGTTTCTATTATTTGAGCTCTAGCAAAATGTAAGGTTCTGTAGCCTCTACTACTATGTCTTCCCTGTCCAAATCCAGAATGATTATACTGGTAACCTCCATGCTAAAAGTGCTGGAAGTGGTGATAATTCTGGCTCCTCCTTCCTCCTCAACCTTCTCCCTGGCCTCCGTGACCACCTCTCCCTCCATGACCACTGCCTCGATCACCATGGTGCCCACCATCTTGGTTATCTTTTGTCCTGCTGGTATCCGCCACCACCCTGGTATCCACTTCCTGCATACGAAGATGTTTGGAAGCCACCATAACCACCACCTTGATAGCCACCACGGTGGCCACCATGATAACCACTGGGCTGGAAACCCAAATCTCAATAACCATCATCTTGGTAGCTATCTCCTCCTTCACTCCCTCTATTTGTCCAGCTTCCTTGATGCATATTTCCTCTTCCTCCCGCTTGACCACCATGGTTATAGCCACCACGTTTACCTCTCCCTTCTCCTTGTTCATGACTGCCTCATCCTCCATATGAGGAATGTTCATAACCACCTCTCCCTCCTCGGCCTCCTGCTTGCTGCTGGGGCCATCTTGCCATGGTGGCATCTCTGGAGGTGGAGGTTCAGTTTTATTGGGTCTACCACCTCTGTCAGGCACCCTGCCCATCATTGACTAGCACAGGCAGTCTTTTCTCTAATGGAGCTACTGCTTGTCCTTAAAATCTTTGACAAGTCTTGTCTTGCAGCCAAAAGATGGGCAACAGAAATAGTACTTTTAGGAGATAAGACTGAGTGTTTTGGCTGGTAAACCTTTGCTGATTTTTCTGTCTGATGCTTAACTCTGTCAGACCAGCCAAATGACTGCACAGTGACATCCAAACATTTTATTAGCAGCTTTCTCCAAACTTCATATTCATTGGCTATAGCTTGGTTAATTGCTTCAGTCTTTTCCCAGTGGGCTGGTCCTGGCAACTTCTTCAATAAAGGCTTTCCCACATGATTAGGTGGAACTTTTGCTAATGTCTCCTTTAATTTTTTTTCAATCCTGCTGAAGAACTGGGAGATAGTTATATTGGCTGGAGGTTTGGACATTCGTAGAGCAATACATATGCCTTTCAACTCTTAAAAGACCAGACCTCACTACCACCTCCTTCTTGAGCTTTTTTTGGAGGAGCATTCACACAGAGCATTCTGGCAGGTTCTAGTTCTGAGACGAGATGTGCTCAAGCTGGAATTCTTCAGCTTCATTCAGGCTGTTAGTTGCTTACACGTTTTCATCTAGTTTACAGAGCCCTCTTAATTCAGATACCAGTCAAGCACAGAGTTTGGTAAATTCTGGAGAACTGGCTCCACCAGAGACTGCCTGAGACAGCATGCCATCATCTAACAATGGACCCTTGTAACCTAGATCTTCAACAACTCCAAGATGTCAGTCTGTATGAGGTCACACTCTATGCTACAGTGCTATTCACATTTCTGAGTCATCAGGCTGCCCTCTTCACTGGCAACCTGTTGTCTATTTTTATGCCTACCTATGTATTTTATTGTTGGAAAATAACTAGAAACTTTTTTTGGCTAATAAAATGAGTAACATTTAGGAATTAAATCAGTCACCTCTGGAAGTTACACTTGTTCTTTCAGCTTATTCAAATAGAAACTTATTAAATGGTCCCTTAAGAATGTAGGAATGAAAAGAAGACAAAGAGAGAATGCACCATTTCTCAAGTCAGATGGTGGTACCCATGTTTGTTTTTGCTATTATTATTTTTAACCTCTTATGGGAAATTTCAAGTATGTGCAGAAGTTCACAGAATCAACTAATGAACCCTTATATACCCATCACCTAGCTTCAGCTATTAAGAACCCACAGCCATTCTTGTTTCATATACACTCTTGCCCACTTCCCTTCTTCCCATATTACTTTGAAGCAAATTCCAAACATCATGTAATTTTATCCATAAATGTTTTCATTTTGCATCTCTAAAAGGTACAGACTTTTTCCAAATGTGCCCACATACCATTATCACACTTTAAAAAATTAACAATAATTTGAAAAATTTTTATCAAATATCCAATTTGTCTTCGCATTTCCAGTTGTCTCATAAATGTCATAAATGTTTTGTTTTTACACTTGTGATTGTTTTTAGAGGTTGAGTTTGTACAGGACTTTTTGACTTTTGAACCCTTTTGTCCCCTTTCTCATGCAGAGTCTGGTCCGGAATCTCTCCCGCCAGGATCTCTTCCGAATGTCTTGGATGATGCTGGTGTTCAAGGGAGCCCTGTTGCGGATAATTATGGCCAGGGGTCACCAGAGGCCAACAGTTCAGTCTCACTCAGTAGAGAAGACCTCAGTCTTCACCCGGTCAGCTGCTCTACTCTTCTCTGCAGAGGGTAGGCTCTAGGCTGGAAGCTTTGGACTCAGAGCTAAGAGTGTCTCCTTTTACAGGTCTCAGTTCTGGTCCTGAAGGTAAATAAGGTGTCTTTTGGGATTGAGGTACGTGGTGAGGACCTGACAGTGGCCCTGCAAGCAGAGGAACTGACCCTCCAGCAGCTGGGTACCATGGGACTCTGGCAGTTCCTGCACGGACAGTGCCCAGGTGAGGATGGCAGCCATTCCAGAGGAGAGCCTGTGGGATTTGTCTGGGTGCAGCCATAGCTTAACTTTTGCCTGTCAGTGTTCTAAGGGCAGCTGCCATAATGCCAAGCATTTGTCCCTTCTCTCCAGCAGCTACTGGGGGGAGGAAGAACTCCAGTGAAGCCTCCTTTCCGTACAAGCTCCCCAGAGCTCTTTCTGGGCCTCTGCATTCACTTGGCTGTTGTCCGCCTTCACTTCCCTGGCACTCCGTCAGCTTTTGCAGGAGGACAGTGTCCACTTCTTCGTTTGTGTGGCTGCTAACATAAAACTATATCTAATCAGGGAACTCCCGTTATTCAGAATAAGTCCTTTGATGTGAGTTATCATTTATACTTTAAAAGATGATCAGGAAAAATCTGGACTTATGTTAAATGATTTGTTTAAAAGTTATTTTTTAAAATATCAAGTAGATACTACAGAATAATACAGAATACAACGAGCCCATGTACTTACTACCTAGCTTGATAAATAGAACGGTGCCATTAACCTTTGGAGTCCCTGGGAGCCCCTCACCTGATCTTTCTCTGTCCCTTACCCATCAGAGGTAATTACGAGTCTGAATTTTGTGTTTATTAGTCTTTTGCTTTACCTTATAATTTTTCTACATGTGTTTGTATCAATGTATTATTTAGCTTCAGAGGTTTTTTAATTTATTATTATTTTTTAATATGCTAAATATATCTGTGTAACAAAACATTTGCCATTTCAACAGTCTTCACATGTACAGTTTACTGATATTATGTTCATGTTGTTCAACCATTACTCTTATCTGTTCCCAGTTTTTTCCATCATCTTTAATATAAGCTTAGTGTCCCCTAAGCATTGAAGCCTCCTTTTCTCCTATCTCCCATCTGCTCCTTAAGTTTATCTTAACATAATCATAGTTTATATTCTTCTGTGACTTGCTTCATTCACTTAACATGATATTCTTGAAATTCTTCTATGTTGAGTTAGCTATAATGCACTCATTTTTACTACTATTTAATATTGCATAAGTATACCATTTTTTTACTTTTTAATAAATGGTTTTAGTGGTGTATAATTTACATACTATAAAACTCACTCATTTTAAATGTTGTTGTTGTATGCTGTCAAGTCAATACTGACTCATAGCGACCCCATATGACAGTAGAACTGCTCCATAGGGTTTCCTAGTATGCCATCTTTATGGCAACAGATTTCCAGGTCTTTCTCCTGCAGAGTGGCTGTGTAGGTTTGAATCTCCAGCCTTTCAGTTAGCAGCCAAGTGCTTCACCATTCTGTCACCAGGGCGCCTTCATTTTAAGTGTACAGTTTGATAAATTTTTACTAAATTTACAGAGCTGTGAAACATCAAGAAGCCCTGATGGAGCACTGATTAAGTGCTTGGCTGCTAACCAAAAGGTTGCCAGTTTGAACCCACCAGCTGTTCCACAGGAGAAAGATGTGGCAGTCTGCTTCTGTAAAATCACAGCCTTGGAAACCCTATGGGGCAGTTCTACCCACCACAATCCAATTTTGGAACATTTCATCACCCTAAAAAGATCCCTTGTGCTCATTACCACTATTTACTTTTTCAGTCTATTCTGAATAGACATTTGAGTTGTTTCTTTTTCTTTTTTGCTATTTCAAATAGTGTTGCCATAAACAACCTTGTTCATGTCTCCTGGTACATATGTTCAAGAGTTTCTCCAGGGTTATATTCCTGAGGATATAATTTCTAGATCATTAGGGTAGGTACAGCTACAGCTTTACCAGATAATGCCAAATTGTTTCCCAAAGTGGTTGTACCAATTCACAGTCTCATAAGTGTATAAGCTGTTCCATATCCTTGGCTACAGCTGGGATTGTTCTTTACGGAGTTTTGGAGAGGTTAGCATAGATCCTACTTGGCTCTATCAGAGAGAGATGAGAAGACAGAGACTTTGATAAAGGAAGACACGTTCAAATGTAGCCAAGTTGAAGGTCCTATATTTTAAGAGCTTTCCCTTGGCCAGTAGCCCAGCACCTCAGATTCATAGCAAGGCCAGCTTTTTATTACTCCTTAACCTCCCTTCTACTTTGAGTGGCATTACACTAAAGTGGCTAAGCTTATGGACTTTGCAATCATACTGCTTGGGTTCAAATCCTAGCCTTTCTACTTACTGGTTGTGTCAATTTGGGCAAATTATTCTCTGTGCCTTAGTTCTTGCATCTGTTTAAGATGGGAACGATGATAATACTTTTGGCATAGGATTGTTAAGAATATTAAGTACATGTAAAGTGCTTAGAACAGTCCCTGGCTGTTAATATCTTTTCCTTCTGTTTTTCCTCTCAAAGGAACAAGTTTTCAGGAATCCTCAGCTTTGAAGACTGGCCATATCATGCCAGCTGTGGGCCTTCGCTTTGAGGTGGGACCTGGTGCAGCTGTTCATTCCCCCCTGGCCATACAGAATGGCTTCCTGCACTTGTTGCTTCATGGCTGTGACCTAGAGCTGCTCACCTCGGTGCTCAGTGGCCTGGGGCCCTTCTTGGAGGATGAGGAGATTCCAGTGGTGGTCCCCATGCAGATTGAGCTCCTGAACTCCAGGATCACCCTAAAGGTGAGAGGAACCTTTGTTTTTTCCCCTGGACTTTGTTGGGGAAGGAATTCTGGCAGTAACAGCTGTCAACTTCATCCCTTGCCACCATAAAATATGGTGAGGATCAGGTGAGAAAATGCATACCACCATTCTTTGTCAGTGTTCTAAACATGTTGCCAGCGAGTTGATTCTGTCTCATAGCAACCTTATAGAACAGAGTAGAACTGCCCCCTAGGGTTTCCAAGGAGTGGCTTGTGGATTCGAACTGCCAACCTTTTGGTTAGCAGCTGAGCTCCTAACCACTGCACCACTAGGGCTCCATCAGTGTTCTAGTACTATATAAATGTGTGTTGCTGTCAGAAAGCCCTGGGTTCAAGCGAGGAGACCTTGTCTGTAACCCTAGCCCTGCCTTTGGCTTGGAGCGTGACCATGTGCAAGCCATTAGGTGATCTAAGTCTCAGTTTCACTCTAGAATGGATCTCAGTTATAACTTTCCTACTTTGCAAGAATGTATGGAGAAATGACAACATAAAAGTGCTTCAAGCTGAATGGTAGCAGGATGGGTTGTATTATCCAAGTAGCCTTGAGCTGGCTGAGAGCATCATATAGTTTCCTTCTCTTCCTGCAGGATGATATCCCCCCCATCTATCCGACATCCCCAGGCCCTGTCCCCATCACTCTGGCCATGGAACACGTCGTGCTGAAGCGGAGTGATGATGGTGTGTTCCACATAGGTGGTGAGTCAGGCTTGTCAGCCTCCTTGCTTTTCCGCCTCTCTTCTCTTGTGAGGGAATAGTTGACAGCTCAGAACTGTCTGGGTATTGGCAGCAGTTTGTCACCTAGAACTGTACCTTTTTTCTAGCTGCTGCTCAGGACAGACCACCAACAGAAGTAGCTAAAAGTGAGAAGAGGCAGCCCCCAAAAGAACAGGTGTTTCTGGTGCCCACAGGGGAAGCTTTTGGACAGCAGGTGAGGACGTAACTCCAGAGTACCTTTACCATAAGCTCTCAGGGGCTGTAATCGCGGAAGCTGGTAAAACCCCAGGGGCTTAAAATGTTGCTGTGCTGTGCTGTATCTGGGTGGTTTGGTCTCCTGTCACCGGGCAGCAGCTTCTAAAAGGACTGAATAGAGGCTGCAAGTCAAGAGCTAGAGTTGAATGGTTGCTGATCACATATTCCACCTGTTGGGTTCTCTGGGTCATTGACCTAATTTGTAGATTTTTCTGTTTGGATTCTTCCTTCCTGTCTCCCTTACTGGCTGTTGTTGCAAGGTGGTGTTACCCTATTCTGCTCATTAATTGTGAACTACTTATTGTTCCTCAGGTGAAAGAACTGCCTACCCTACAAAAGGAACTTATAGAAACCAAGCAAGCATTGGCTAATGCCAACCAGGATAAAGAAAAACTTCTTCAGGAGATTAGGAAATATAACCCCCTCTTTGAGCTCTGACAGCAGCGCTCAGCCGTTTGTGTCAAGGAGAGAGGAGATCACCAGCAACAGCACCACCTAGGACAGAAGGCTCCGTCCAGTGTTGAATAAGTCTGCCTAAGGATGCTGGAGAGAGTGAGGGGTGCCGGACTCACTCCTTGGAGGTGTACTTTCTACTAGCTGTTCTAACACGGATGGAGGACAGGGCAAAGCATGACCATGTCCCAGGAAACTGGGGGCAGCTTTGTGCGTGGCTCAGATGTCATCTTTTACATATATAAAGCCTTCTGACCCTCTGCATGCTAGGTGGAATCTTCTGGGCACTGTAGGGCCATTTCACCTCCTGGTTTCATGGCAGAGACATTTGCTTCTTCCACAACCTTGTGAACAAGGAATAGTACTCACCTCCTCAGTCACCAACAGAGCCACCAAAGATTCTACGTACCAGAGCTTCCTGTAGCGGACCTGAACAGGCCTTGGCCTGAGCCTTGGTCACGGTAGTGGAGTGGAATAAGAAAGTCTAGCAAGGTGGGGGCCAGGAGAGGTACAAGAATAAGGGGGATCTGTACTCTGCCTTTTTTGGAAAGGGAACTAAGTTCCTATCATCTTGGCTGATATTACTATCAGATTTGTTAAGGTTCCGCTTCCTTTCTGTTACACTTTCATCATTGTGATGCTGGGGTAGAAAGCACCATTTAGAGGGCACAATGCTAGTACCATCTTTTCCCTCTATAACAATTTATTTGAAATTTAAATCAAGAAAAATGTATTCATTCAGATTTAGGTTGAATTGAAGGCATGATGTGGTAGGAATCAGGGGGCTTGATTCTGAGCCCCCTCAGCCCACCTAAGTCCCACCCCTCCTTCAGAGCCGCGCCTCAGAGGTTATCCCCTCTGTCTCCCTGGTGTCCCTGGCACATCTGCTTTCCTAACACTGTGACTTTCTGCTAGCCCTCTCCTCAGCAGTTGGTAGTCTGGGGACTGAAAATGTGTTTTAAACATTAATTTAACATAAACATCTCAACCTGTTGCCTCTCACCCCCTCAATCACTGTGGCTTTTTTTAATCACCTGATTTTGATTTCAGTATAAAAAACAAAACAACCCTTCAACTAGTTAGGTTTTGTCTCTGCCCTATAAAAGAGCTGTTTCCTCCCACTTTCTTTCCTATCTAATGCTTTGCCAACACTCCACCTTTATCCACACTGCTCTGTGATATACTTCAAGCTGTGTTGATTGGACAGGAATTCATCAGCTGACTCACCTTGACTTGGCAAGATGGTGAAATAGTGGGTTAATGGTGTCACTGAAGTCTTAATCTTACATGACCTATCGAAGGAAAGGTAAAATGGTTCTTTTCCGAGAAATCATACCTGATTTGTATACTGTAGTTGTTTTGAGGATAAAAAGAAACATGAATTCAAGAAAAAAACAGATTTAATTTATTCAGACTTTTAAAGAACCTTTCTCAAGGTTCTTCACTGGGCAGTTTTTAAAACATGAGTTGCTATCTGATTGTGGGATTATTTTGTCATGCTTAGGAAGCAACCTAGAGGTTTAGGAATAAAGGAACATCTTTCTGGAAAGAATGCTATAGAAGTTCCCTAAAGGTTGATGCTTGGTTCAACCTTATTTAAAACTTTTAGAAAAGACTTGAAAGTAGGATTTTATAATAAAATCAAATGTCACCACTTTGAGGTAGTGAAAGGTCAAACTAGAAGAGATTTAAAAACAAAACAAACGAATAAAAAAAAACTGCAGGAGGGTCACAGAACTCTCAGAAAAGTGTTGGATGCAGTTCAGTGTAGACAAGTGTAAGGTAATGTATTTATAGAAGACTCATCAACTGCTAAGGTAACGAGCTCTGCTAAAACTCAGGAAAGAACCTAAGCATTGCTGAAGAGGGAGCAGGGGTCGATGTGCTGCTGTGGCCAAAAGCCCAGCTGCTCTCTAGGCATCATCAGGAGGGGCTCTTGGAGACAACACTGAAAACACCCCCTCAGACAAAACTGTGGTTATGTCATCTAATTGTCTCTGTATTTCTAGTGACCTTATTTATAAAACACAGTGAAAGGGGGAAGGTTTGAGAAGAGAAAAATTATCAGGGGTGGAGGTATTTCCACACGAGGACACATCTTTTAAAATGTGGACTCCATTCTGGAAAGATGAAAGCTGAGGGGAATGTTGGATCAGATATCCAGATAAGAGCAAGGATACGTCCACCAGGTCCTGAAATACTAGCTCTAGGGCTCTACCTCATAGCCTTAGGTAAAAGAAAGCACTTCTCATAGCAAATCAGAAACTTACAAAGTTTTTGTCCAAGAAGTGGTGCCAGCAGAAACTATGTGGGCACAGAAGGTTTAAGAAGAATCCCTGTACGATGGTCTCCCAAGAGGGATTGTAGAAAATTAGAGCTATTTGGTTATAACACAACTGAGAGGGTAACTGCATTCCTCCACAAACTCCCCCTAAGTGCTTCTTCAAAGGGAAAATGCTAAACTGAGTGGCTCACTGGTCCTCTCAAGCATGGTATTTCTGTTGCTCTAGGGAGACGGGGTAGGGGTGAATCCAGTGGACAGGAAATATAATTATTCAACTTCAGGCTTCCCTGAATTGGTTTAAAATCACATTCTGAGTCTCTTCCCTTGCCCTCCCACTATATCCCTCTGACATCCCTCCATGCAATGAAAATGTCTGATAGGCATGGTTTGGTGTACCCTTACCTTAAGCTTGTGCTTGGTAGGAGGCAGGATAAACAAATCCAGCAAGCAGCAAGGCTAACCCCTTAATGCCCAGAGCTCAGTCAGATTTCTGGGCCCTCTGAAGGAGTCAGGAGCTCTTGTTCATGTGACAACTGGAATCCTATAATTTGACTTCCCTTATGTGGCAGCTTTGGCCGTTGTGTCTTGAAATTCTCCCTCAGGAAATGTGGCAGGGGTCATTATTGCATGGGATTTTGGTAAAAATCATCTTGTGTAACTTCATACACCTGTTCATTGGGGAAAGACTTTTTCATAATGAGGAAATGTGAACTAGTTGGTAGTCCTCAGGATAAGTGTAAAAATAATGGAAGGAAAAAAATAAGTGTCAGCCCCTTTGGACTGCTTAGGATTTCTATCTCAGAGCTGCAAGACTCTGAAGAAGAAATAAGAATACCTCAAGAAAATGTCTTAAGTGATAGCACCACTATCCCTCGAAGACTTCAGCCACTGCACATTACCATTTCAGCTGTGAAGCATTTGACTATTATCTGTGATTGTCCAGATTTCCTGTTTACATGGATATACTGGGGATATGTTTTAGTGCATATGGACTAGAATTCAAATCCTCTCTTTACCTGGGCTGTGGGGATGATTATCCATCTTATCGAGTTCTCTTTTCAACTCACTGGAATAATTAACCTAGTTTCTCTAACTTAAGACAAAAGGTGTGTGTTCTATTCACGTGATGGCTGCTTTTTACTCTATATGTCATCTGACTCCATTTGCCATAGGGCTCAACCCTTATGTCTCCTTTCTCATGGTCCTGAAAGAAATGGTCCCACCCCCCACCCCCATAACATGTGCTTCAACTCATTTCAATTAGTTTCCCCTAAGGATAGTTCTGGGGGTAGCAGAAAGAAGGTAGACTGAAATATTGCCATAGTGATTATGGGAAATTTCCATTCCACATCTTTACACTGAGGTTTTGTTTTTCTTATTTAATACTTGCTTAAACTTCTAAAATCAGTTCTACTAAAATCACAAAGCTATGGAAACAACTGAACTTTGGTCCACAAACTAGTAGGATGACATCTGGTTATTGGAGAGCTGCAAAAGCTGTATTATTGCTTTGTGATTTACCACAGTCGTAATTTCTAAGAGAATCTGTTGTGACGCACCATTCTTTCAGGGCCTAGGGCCTTCGCCAGTTGCTACCCCCACCTTTTGCTGGAATAGGAATATTCCCACCCACCTCTGGATAGATTGGGATAGTAGCTATTGTTGAATGGGGATTCTTTTCCCCACCTCTTACAACATGCACCAGGGGAGCACTCCTGGAGAACCTTTAACAGCGAGGCCTTGCTAAGTGGCCAGACTTGGGGTGTGATCGTCCTCCTGTGTTATAGTTTCAGCCTTATCCAGTATCTCTAACTGCAATAGGTAGAGTTCCTATAAACATTTAAAAAAATTCCTGTTACTGCTGAGAGAATATCTGGTTTTTGTCAAGTTTGTTTTCGGTGAAAATTTTGCCTGAGTCTTACAGCATTTCTTTGCTGTGTCTTCTCCATTGGCTATGTACATGTGGAAAGCCATGTGTTTTGGTATCAGATACTAAAGTCAGATTTTCCCTACTTCATAAGTCTAAGCTGTTTCCCCTAATCTGGGTGCTAAACAGAATTAGAATCTTTACTAAAACATGCTCAGGAAAGCTTCGAAAGAGAACAGCTTCAAAACCCTTCTTCCTGTGACACTGAATGATAGAGAGGAAAGAATTCTGGGGGATTGCCAATTATATATAATAGCCTTATTACTGCTAATCACTGTCAATAAAAGGTCACTCCATTCCCCTCTATTTGAGGAAAACAATAAGAATGTATCAATGAACTGGAATCCTAGTCAGTACTGGGAAATTTTAATGTTGCAATTTCTAATCGAATCTTGAGTGTACTGGTTCTGTGAACTACCTGAAAAAAAGCAAATTAAACTGATTAAACAATATTGGTTGTGGTATATCTATTTAGAGGAATCCAAAATATATGGGCTTTTATATTGTTTTTAAACAGTGCTTTTGGTGCTCTTTATCAGATAAAATTTTAATGACTCAAGTAGAAAATGGGAAGGGCACCAATATTCACAAAGAAAGTCAAGACCAGTTTTACTCTGACACCAAAAAAGAATGGTGAATGTCTCCCCATTCCAACCAGAAAACAAATATATGTATGGCAAATTGGAAAACAGTTTAATGATCACTCAACCAAAATCCACAGGAGAATCTTAAATGTTTACAAGGACAAACTATTCCACTACTGTTATCACTGCATCCTTCATGGTAGAGTAGCACAAGTCAAAATTTTCTGGTGGTTTCATCTATTTAAAACCAAACTTAAGAAACAACCTGAGTCATAGCTACTTCAGGCTTCAATGTGAAACCATCAAAAAGCTCTCTTGGAAAGGTTTTCTCTCTCTGAAAGCAGCTTCCCTGTCCAGAGAATGCTCAAGGTCCATGCACCTTTCTTCTTTCAACTAGCCAAGAAACAAATGCCTCAAAATGCCTAGGAGGTCCCAACATTTAGTCAAGGCAAGTATGAAACAAGGCTGCATGCCACCATCTAGGTGTGACACATACCAGTTTTGAAGAAGACATTAAAATCATCATCAAATCCTTGGTGGACTCAGATACCGAAGCACCAGTGCAGACAGTCTCATGTGATAGAAGGACTAGAGCCAATACCTCTTCTTTCAATAATAGGCCTTTCTAGGCTTTGGCCTAGAAGAAGATGATTTTTTTGTGCTTCGAGTTGGGGATTTGCCCCTTCGACTTTAACCTCCGAACAGCCTCCCTCATATGCTTGGGTTGTAGTGGTGGCGTTTCTCCCCATTTCTCACACACGTCCAGTGCTAAACAGGGGGCAAGGAGAAAGTTTTCATTATCACACAAGAGTTTATTAATCATATCCTCCTTTTGGGTCCTGTAATTCTCGTTAACCGTTCTTAAGCTTGCTAAGGAAATAAGACATTTTCCTTTCTTAAGGAAATGCTATAAAATGTATCATGTTAGCTTTAGCATAGTATCTGTATCAGGCTTTATCACAGGCAAAAGATTAAAACCTCCCACTTTAAAAATTTCATTGGATATTAATGGGCAGCTGCCAGGCTTTTTACTCAGTGAACAGAGGGAGCAGGGCTCAGCGTTCACAATACCAGGGACCACTCATTCTACCACACCAACTAGCCCCAGTTGTTGCTTTTCCTGTAACTTTACTTTTGGCAGCAGAAATGAGTAAGGTCCACCGGAGAAAAACAGAAAGGCTGCTTCTGTCACCCTGTGCTGAGGACCGGAATTAGAGAGGGGACTTTCCTAGATGCTTCCTTATCCCCCCTATTGAAACTTTCAAGGAATAATGGTCATGCTTTCTTGATTACAAGGCTCCCACCTGGTCAACTTCTAGTGCAAATCGGAATTACTACAGGGTACTCTAAAGAGTAACTTAGTATAGCTGTTCTTGAAAATGAGAACACCACTGGTTAAATCCAGCATTTGAACCAACACTACTCACCTTCTTCTACTACCTCCCCGACGAAGACCTTGGAAATACCAGACATAGCAATAACAACATTCTGAGACACGGAGGTGCCAGTGATGGACTGGATCAGCTTGAAAGAAGGACAAAGACTCTGTGATTAAGGTAGTAAAGGACTGACTTTGGAACATACTATGCATAAAAGACCTTTGCACTGAAAAAATGTTTACTAAAGGTTAGGTGCTAAAATTGAGACTATTAAAACAAGGATGCAGGTGTGTTATGACCTATTCTATACACTGAGACCCTATCCCTGGAATACAAAACTACAATAGGTCAGATAGTTGAGGGGCATGTTATTTTTATTTACCCACCTAAATGATCCACCAATGTGTCTAACATTTCACTTCAAAAGGACAAGGGACACAGCTCTTGAGCCTAGTTTAGTTCTAATATGTGATGGAAATGAAGTGTGGTAGTCCATCCTTACCCTTTTAATGGCTGCCTTGGGGAAAGCTGACCGGCGATACATTTCATAACGGTTCAGCTGCTCCTCAGAAAAAGAAGAAACCAGGATTCTAGAGAAAGATTCAGGTAATTAAGTTATAAAAACAAACGCTCAAGATATACTGTTACGTAAATAAGAGCAAATCTCAGACAATTAAAAATATGAATTCTCAAGGGATCAATGGTATTATCCTTGGTCTTAGAGGCATGAAGATAAAACACCATTTCTCCTCTTAAGAAACTTGAGAAAAAGTAAAATGCAACTTCTTAATTACTTCATTAAGAATAAAAATTTAAGTATCAATGCTGAGTCATTCACTGAATCACACTATACTGAATGTGTTTTCAGCATTAGGCTCTCTCTCTCCCTAACTGCATTTCAGATTGATGGTAAAAATTTTATAAATACATTTATATTCAAACAAGCAACTTTCAACATTAAAAGTTTTAGGAGGAAAATATTTGCAAAGTATATGGAAAAGGGCTAGTACTCTTAATATACAATGATTTAAAGATGGCCATCCCAATTTTTAAAAATGAACAAAGGACATCAAGGGGAAATTTATAAAAATACAAATGGCCAATAAACATAGGGGGGAAAAAATTAACCTTCACTATTAACTAAAGAAATCAAAATTACAAACTAAATAAAACATGATAACATTTTTCATAAACAGATAAATATTAAAAAGAATGCTAATAGAGTGTGGGGACACAAACTCATACATGCTGGGAGAGTGTGAACTGGAACAACCTTAATGGAGAGGAATTTGGAAATATGTATGAAGGCCTTTGAAAATGTTCATAGTGTCTGAACCAGCAATTACACTTCTAGAAGTTTATCATAGAAGTACACGGACAAGTATGCAAAGATGTGCCCAAAGACATTCATCAAAATGTTGTCAAAAGAAAAAAAAATAAAGGAACAGTCATAGGGATTGGTTAAACTGTGGTTCATCCACATAATAGAATACAATGCAGCCATTAAGAGCATGATTTATGGACATATTTACTAACATGAAAAAAAGCTACATCGTATGAAGTATGAATCTAGGAAAACCGGAAATCATCAGAAATGAAATGGAACACAAACGTCGATATCTTAGGCATTAGTGAGCTGAAATGGGCTGGTATTGGCCATTTTGAATTGGGCAATCATATGGTCTACTATGTTGGGAATGACAAGTTGAAGAGGAATGGCATTGCATTCATCATCAAAAAGAACACTTCATGATCTATCCTGAAGAACAATGCTGTCAGTGATAGGATAATATCCATAAGCCTACAAGAAAGACCAGTTAATACAACTATTATTCAAATTTACACACCAACCACTAAGGCCAAAGATGAAGAAACTGAAGATTTTTACTAACTTCCGCAGTCTGAAATTGATCGAGCATGCAATCAAGATGCATTGATAATTACTGGTAATTGGAACTCGAAAGTTGGAAACAAAGAAGGATTAGTAGTTGGAAAATTGGCCTTGGTGATAGAAATGATGCCAGAGATCACATGATAAGAATTTTGCAAGACCAATGACTTCTTCACTGCAAATACCTTTCTTCACCAACAGCGACAAACGTGGACCTCGCCAGACGGAATACAAAGGAATCAAATCGACTACATTTGTGGAAAGAGATGATGGAAAAGCTCAGTATCGTTAGTAAGAACAAGGCCAGGGGCCAACTGTGGAACCGACAATCAATTGCTCATACGCAAGTTGAAGCTGAGGAAAATCAGAACAAGTCCATGAGAGCCAAAGTACAACCTTGAGTATATCCCACCTGAATTTAGAGACCATCTCAAGCATAGATTTGATGCACTGAACACTAATGACCAAAGACCAGATGAGTTGTGGAATGACATCAAGGACATCATACATGAAGCAGGACGTCATTAAAAAGACAGGAAAGAAAGAAAAGACCAAAACGGATGTCAGAAGGAGACTCTGAAACTTGATCTTGAACATAGAGCTAAGTGCAGAGAAGACATGATGAAGCAAAAGAGTGAACAGAAGATTTCAGAGGGTAGCTTGAGAAGACAAAATAAATTATTATAATTACATTTGCAAAGGCCTAGAGTTAGAAAACTGAAAGGGAAGAACATGCTCAGCATTTCTCAAGCTGAAAAAGCTGAAGAAAATATTCAAGACTCGAGTTGTAATATTGAAGGATTCTATGAGCAAAATACTGAATGATGCAGGAAGCATCAAAAGAAGATGGAAGGAATACAGAGTCACCGCACCAAAAAGAATTGGTTGACGTTCAACCATTTCAGGAGGTGGCATATGATCAAGAACCAATGGCACTGAAGGAAGAGGTCCAACATGCACTGAAGGCACTGGCAAAAGACAAGGCTCCAGGAATTGTGGGAATACTAATTGAGATGTTTTGACAAACAGATGCAGTGTTGGAAGTGCTCACTTGTCTATGCCAAGAAATTTGGAAGACAGCTACCTGACCAACCGACTAGAAGAGATCCATATTTATGCCTATTCCCAAAAAAGGTGATCCAACGGAATGTGGGAATTATCCAACAATATCATTAATATCACACGCAAGTAAAATTTTGATGAAGATCATTCAAAAGCGGTTGCAGCAGTAAATCGACAGGGAACTGCCAGAAATTCAAGCTGGATTCAGAAGAGGACATGGAATGAGGGATATCATTTCTGATGTCAGATGGATCCTGGCTGAAAGCAGAGAGTACCAGAAAGATGTTTACCTGTGTTTTATTGACTATGCAAATGCATTCAACTGTGTGGATCACAATAAATTATGGA